ATATATGCATATATATACATACATATATATGCAAAGAAACGTATGTGCAGAATGCGGCAGAAAGAGATAGAGCGATGCTATGAATAATAATAACATAATGCATATATATTCATTTACATGATGTATGAATTAATATTTTATATTTTAGTATACGGATAGTAAAGATGAAAACGAAAATAAATATGAATTGAAATTGCATCTACTTGAAATTTTTTATGTTTGGCAACTTTTCAAACTACTCTCGCTGCTATTTAGCCTTCGATTTATCTTTATCGTTTACGGGCGGACATTTCAATCAGTCAATTTCACAGTGTCCAGCGATTGCTATTGATGATGTGTCTCTTCGCTTATATTGACAAGTTCTGTTTTCTCTCGATCTTAATTTGATTTTTGGCAACAGCAACAAATGCGAACTGCGAATTTAATTCATTAGGCAAAACAAAAATTAAATCTAATGCCCGCTGAGCGAGAGGAGAGAGGAGGAGAGGCATTGTTAGCTGAAGATTAATGAGGCTGGCCAGTGGCAGGCGAAATGCCAGAGACGGCGACGCGCCACATAATGCAAATGCCGCAATGAAATATTTGTGGCACTTGTGGCGCCCCCGACAGACATGAGGCACATGAAAAAAAAAAGAAAATAAAATGAATAAAATAAAATAAACTAGATGACAACAAGTTGAACGAACCGCAAAGCTGACCACAAAAATTGGCACAAGTTCACAGAGATAGACAACGAGAGAGAGAGAGAGAGGGGGAGAGGGAGAGAGAGCGACAACTGAACTCAATCAATGGGGCTGTTGAACATTTAGCTGGGACAGCTACTAGCAAAACAGCCAACAAACAACATTCATTGAAATCGTTGTGGCTCAGCTCGCCAGCTAACAAACCGACTATTTAGATGTTGTCCACTTGGCCAGGGCCTGTGGCTTAAATCGATAGCCACGGGCGAAGGGCGCGTCACGTGCTAACAAAGTCAACAAATGAAAACTAATCGGCAATTATAAGCAAATGTCTGCAGTGAAAGCGGAAAGAGAACAAGCAAAACAGAACATAAAAGAGACAGAGTCAGAGAGAGAGAGAGAGAGAGAGAGAGAGAGAGAGAGACTCTGACAGTCAAACAGACAGTCAATTTTAGCATGCAACATGCGGCGTATGAGTAACGCGTGTTAGCCAAATGTCGCAAAGCGGCTAATAAGAAATGTACAAGCAGAGCCAAATACCATAAATACGAATGCTGAATGCCCTAACAAGACTTTGTTCTCTTACAGACAAGCAGGAAATCGAATGTGAATCGAAACTTTATGTAAGACAATTCCCATTTGACAAATCCTTATTAGACCATCTGGTTTTATGAATATAATGCCTCGTTGACTTAGATAGGGTATTCGAGTGGAAGAAGGCAAAACATAGTAGTCAGAAGAGAATGAAGCTGCTCGACTTAGCCAACAAGAGTCAAAAGACAAGGCGAACAAGGCAAGATGAGACAGTGGATGAGAGAGAGGGAGATGGAGAGGAAGAGGAAGAGAGACAATATCACGATATGAGAGGCAGGGCAAAGCAAGACAAACAGCCGGCAAATACTTTTCAATTTCGGGCACAGACTTAATGCCGCTCACTGCAGTCGAGGCTGACGCTGAGGCTAAGGCTGAGGCTGAGGCCGAGGCCAAAAGCCGACTCGCAATGAATCAGAGCCGTTGCTTGGCTCTTCTCTCATATCGTAAATGGCAATTACCCAGTAGAGGGCACATCGGCGGGGGCGATTAGGGGCAACATAAATGATTGCATACGTGCAGGCGCCGAGCCAGCCGCAATTTTGGCTAATCAAATAAATTTGTCAGTTTATGCGTGTTGCCACATTTCACGCATGTTAAGTGGGTCGCGACACGGTCGTCCTGTCTCTCTCTCTCTCTCTCTCTCTGGCTTTGTCCCTTTCTGCCTCTTTGTTTAAGCCTGCTCGTTTTGGGATGTTTTCATATGAAGTTCCCCTGTCTGGCTGCTGCGACGAGGTCTATTTTTAAAGCCCCAAAACTTAATCATTCGACTATTTGAGGATTTGGTTTTAATACCTCTGTTTTCACTCTATCAAAACGGGTATATATGATGACATGATGATATAATAATATGATGATATGATGATATGATGACATGATGACATGATGATATAATAATATGATGATATGATGATATAATAATATGATGATATGATGATATGATGATATGATGATATGATGATATGATGATATGATGATATGATGATATGATGATATGATGATAGGATGATATGATTATTTTTAACACTTCCATGTTCACATATGGTTTTTACAGTTACTTTCTTTTGGTCCCAGGAATTTTCGGCAGAGCATTGCGCAGCCGTGCGAAATAAAGTAAATTTAACATAATATTGAATCGAATACGCTCACCGGGGTTCCAGGTGTGCGTAGTTTAGGGCTGAGGCTGTGACAGAGGTGTGTAAGTGTGTGTGTGTGTATGTACAGCATAAATAAAGGGTGTATTAGTTTGAAACAGGCAGCCAGACGAGGCTTAAGTCGAGCATTATAAAGTGATTCCACTTGAGTAGCAAGCAAGCAGAAAGAGAGGAAGAGGGAGCGAGAAATCAACCTATAAACCTGTAAACTGT